CCTCCGCCGGGCCGGCAGCCGCTGCCCCGGCGCGATGTGCGGGGGGATGGCGGCGAAGGGGCCGGGCGGGCCGCGGTGGTGGCAGAACCGGCGGGCGCGGCTGCTGTGCATGCTGGCGCTCACCTTCCTCTTCTTCGTGGTGGAGGTGGTGGTGAGCCGGGTCACGTCGTCGCTGGCCATGCTGTCCGACTCCTTCCACATGCTCTCCGATGTCATGGCCCTGGTCGTGGCGCTGGTGGCCGTGCGCTTCGCCCAGCGCACCCGCGCCACCAAGAAGAACACCTTCGGGTGGGTGCGGGCCGAGGTGATGGGCGCCCTCGTCAACGCCGTCTTCCTCACCGCCCTCTGCTTCACCATCCTGCTGGAGGCCATCGAGCGCTTCACGGAGCCCCACGAGATCCAGCAGCCGCTGGTGGTCATCGGCGTGGGGGTGGCTGGACTCATCATCAACCTGCTGGGGCTCTGCCTCTTCAACCACCACGGCGTCGGGGGCCACGGCCATTCCCACGGCCACGGGCACTCACACAGCGGCAGGCAGCACCCCCGCAGCAGCCCCAAGCCCGAGCAGCCACCCGGGGATGGGGAGGCTGCGCTGCACCGGGAGGAGACCAGCACCTTGGTGGAGAACTGCAGCAGCTCCAACGGAGTCAGCCAGGAGAAGCTAGGTAAGCCCTGCAGCACCTCTGCTGTCCCGCCCCAGCATAGAAGTGCCAGGGAAGTGGGAGAGGTCCCTTCCCTTCCCCGAATAGGGCGGTGGGCATCCTGGTCCCACCTGGTGCAGGCTTCATGGGGACCACCTGCCCTTCCTCCTGGGGAAGAGGCAAGGCAAGAAACTTTCTTAGTGGTGTTCTCGGGCACATGGCTGTTGCGTCTTTACCTCGCACCTTTCCTTCAGGTGCTGAAAGGAGTGCCCTAAGTTCTGAGTTTGTCTTGCAGACAGGTCAGAGTGTGCAAGAGTCTTAGGGTAAAGCAGTTTGCCTTGGAAAAAGTTGGTGCTGGTAGAGAAGGCACATGACAAGTGTTTTTTGCCTAGCAACACAGGCTCTCGGGAGAAGTTGCCCTAATGCCATCTGAACTGGCTGCACATCAAATAGAGCGCAGCTCAACACCTTGGTCCTGACAGCCGGATCTGTCTGTTGGGTCGGTTATTAGCTACCTGAGAAGCTAATCTCAATCTGAATGTGACATACTGAAGTACAGTCCATTGCAATAATGTTGTACTTCTTCGTGACATATGTATTAATAGGAAGAAGTCTTGGAAACTACCAATCAGAACTGTGGAAGTCATGCAATAGGCATTGAATGTGGAGCTCACTGGTGTCAGGGTACATGCGTGGTTTCTTTGAATTAGTTTTCTTTAGCTTTCTAAAGCAGGCACCTTCCCACTCACTCGCACATAGAGATAAATATAAAATCTTCCCTTCCCAATTGTGATCAAACTGTCTATTTTGTGGGAGGAAATTTCTTGGGATTTTTTTTTAATGGATCCAGAAGCCTGGATAGTTTATTTTGAAGTCACTCAGTCGAAGCCAAGTACTGTGTGCTAGCAGAATGAAAGGTGTGTAATTGCCGTTTCTCTGCTCTAATCATATGAGATCCCCGTTACCACGAGGAAGGGGTTTCAGTCTTCAGAACCCATGTCTCTCCCTTATTTTCAGGGTGACATCAGGAGACCTCTGTTTTAGCTGAAATGGAGCTTTAATTGAGCAGAGCGAACTTTGTTACAGTTTCGGTTTTTCTGTGGTCGGAGGTTCCAATACACATTTGAGAAACTTAGCTCCTGCTCTCTCCCCCCACACCCCCGCTCCCCGTTTTGACTCCATGTTGGATTTGAAAAGACAGATTTTGCAAGAGGATAGGAAAGTTCCTCTGAACATAGTACACCATTTTCTTGACCACATAATAAGCTCTTAATGTTGGTTTAGTACCAACAAAGGTATCCTAATAATTAGTTTCAAACCATGTAAAATTCCCTTAACTGTTGATCTGATAGATATCTTGGCTTGTGAATTGTTCTTGCATGGTGAGACATGGTGAGCAGTTGTGCTTTTAGCCAAGTTTTGGGCTAGTTCTAGGCTAAAAGATTCATTTATAGCATGGATTAAAATGTATACTGTTTTGAGCTAACTTGTCTGGAATTTCTCATGGATGTCCTTCTGGCAATAACAAATAATTTGTTGTGGGTATTTAGATGGTAATAGGGCATAATTTTGGTCACAGTGAAACTATGAAATAAGCTTGTGTTTCCTTCTATGCCCTGTCATGATTATGTAATGGATGGAGTTATTCATAGTTTACCCGTGGAAATGTTACAGGTAAAGGTGCTTGGAGAGTTGTGAAAAGCTGTAAGATGTGTAGGTGAAGAGCAGGAGAATGACTGAGAGTGCTACTGTTCCTTCATTGGAAATTACAAAGAGGGGTGATTTCCTAAGGTGGAAGTGGAAAGCTAGTGATAGCCGTAGGGGCTAGTCTTGCATGGGTATCTTTGTGCATATACTTCATGTGAAGTAATCAGTTTATAGTTAGATTTAAATGAGCATATTTCAAATGGACATGTTTTAACTTTTTGCCATTAAAAAATCTCAAGAGCTTTCTGGAACCGTGTTTCCTTTTACCCACCCTTATAGATAGATCTACTGACTTTCCAGATCTTTTCTCTGAGTACTTGGTATGCAGCAGAGTGTCAGAAAAGTTCCTCTTTCCTTGCTCTCATCATGGACCCTGAGGTCTGCACTCTGTAACATGAGATATTTTCCTCTAATTTATTGATTTCTCTGGAAAGCTACAGGTCCCATGTTCCATAACTCATAGAAGTTGTGTGGAAAACGTAGCTGGAGCTTTAGGACAGAAGAGTGATGCACGAGGTTATGAGCCTGAGGCTTGGAACTGACCTGCTCAGCTGCCTTCGTAGGAGCCCACCCCTTCTTTATGATTACAGAATTGCAGTCATGAGAGCCGAGCAGCAGAAGCTGCAGGTCATGCTAACATGTTCGTGTTTACAAAGCTCTGAACTGAATAACCACGGAAGCAATAAGCTCCTTGTTTCAGTTTGTCAGGCCAGTGGCTGTTACATTTCTCTAACAGTGGAAGTTTTCTGTCCAAAGAAGAACTTCTGAAGAAAAGTAGGAGGTTAATCATGTAAAATACTTTCAATTTTGAACATTGGAAGATGTTTTTCTTTCAAAAAACATTCTTCTTTGTAATGATATGTGCATTTATTCCTATATAGCTAGTTAGGTATGGTGGAGTGGTAATATCGGAGACAGTTTTGACAAAGGAGGGCACCAAAATGTTCATTTATGCATTGCATGGTCCATGACCATGAAGGACCATGACCAGGCTTTGGGTATCAACAGCTATATGTCACTTAACAGCTGTATGTCACTTTAAAAAAAAAAAAAAAAAGTACGTTTTATAGGTATTCTGAAATATAAATAACACTAGTTCATAGCCTCTGAGACCTTCAGTGATAACTTATGCTGTACTATAGTCAATACTGCTGATAAATTCTGTTTTCTAGACCTAAAAGCTCAGCTCGTTGTATGTCATAGTTCTGCTGACCCCATGCGCCATCTCAGGAAAACTTCCTTTTCCTTGAATTCAGAAGTCTTTTGGAAATGAACTACTAAAACTGAAAAGAAGTTGCTATAAAGCAGTATCCATAAAACTTTTTTGCTTCTGGCCTCATAAATTTTAATATAAAATAGCAATGCAGTCCTATGGTTTAAGAGAGATTTTAGCAATGTGATTAGCCTTCTGGCTTTTCAAAGGAAGGAACAAATGTAAGTTACTTAGCTACTTAACCAGCTTTTTTATATATGCTCTGTAATTCTGCATTTTGTTTAAGAAATGAACAGTGAGTAGTCAAATGGTTAAATAGCTGGAAAATGTGAAAACAGTTTTTCAGTAGAATAAATTAAAATGCAGTCATCCTCATATTTTGCCACTCTACATCTTTAAGCTCCATGTAAAAACAATTGCCATCTAGACTATTTAGATCACTTATTGGGACAACTGAATATTTCTCAGCCAGAGAAAATGTTCCTAAGTGTTAATGGGTAGAGTTTCTTGCTTTTCAGTTTTGTACTTAATGTGGCAAGCTTAATGTTGGTTATTATTTTATATGGAATTATAGTAATGCGTAGTATTATAGCATATCTCTAATCATTCTACTGTTTTCTTGTCAGGTGATATGAAAGACGACATGGCTGACCTACAAGTGAATGGGAACGCTGGTCATTATCCTCTGGACGTAGAGGAGGTTGAAGAAGACTCTAGTGCACAGCTTAATATGCGTGGAGTTTTTCTACATGTTTTTGGAGATGCCTTAGGTTCAGTAATTGTGGTAGTGAATGCCTTGCTCTTTTATGGGTTGTGGAATCCATGCCCCAAAGATGGGCCCTGCTTTAATCCATGTGTCAATAATCATTGCATGGAAAATGCTACTTTATCCCAAACACTTGGCAGAGCAAACAAATCTGAGCAAGAGAGCATTACGGTGGCTGGTCCATGCTGGTTGCTATATTTAGATCCCATTCTTTGTTTGATGATGGTTTGTATACTGCTGTACACAACTTACCCATTACTTAGGGAGTCAGCCCTTATACTTCTACAGACTGTTCCCAAACAAATAGATGTTCATTCTTTGAACTCAAAGTTACGTACCCTTGAAGGAGTTGAAGCAGTCCATGAATTACACATTTGGCAGCTAGCAGGCAGTAGGATCATTGGCACTGCTCACATAAAGTGTCCTGACCCTTCCACATACATGATGGTGGCAAAGCGCATAAAAGAGATCTTTCATGACGAAGGGATTCATGCAACTACCATTCAGCCTGAGTTTGCCAGCGTTGGCTCTGAATCAGGGAGAGGGAAATGTGAGTTTCCTTGCAGGACTCAGTGTGCTTTGAAGCAGTGTTGTGGAACAGGAGAAGATAGTACTGCAAAGAAGACAGAAAAGTCTTCGTCACTTAGTATTTCTTGTTCAGAAGTTGTCATTGAATTTCCGAAAACTAGGAGGACTAAGTCGGAGAGCATCCCTTCAGTTAAGCTAGAGGCAAACACCGATCAAAATGAGCAGTTTGAATCATCTTTGTAACTCCCTGAATGGTGCTACCTGAGTTTTGGTGACTTTGACAACAGCTATATTGCAAGAGGAAGAGACAGACGTTTGAGATGCAATTTTGCCAAGTAGTGTAATTGCTGAAGTCCTTGTTCTTGTCATATTGCTAAATCTAGAATGCTTGTTTTAAAGAACATAATGTCACTGTCATGATACAATGTGTTTGTGTGGACTTTGTACTGAGACAGACAAAAAGTGCACCAATGCTGTAACAACTTCAGAAAACCAGTTTCAACGTTTTGGCAGAGACACTTTTTGCTGTGCTTCACATTAAAATATTTTTTCTAGTGAAAAGCTATTTGAGGGATAAGCATGTAGGAACTCAATTTGTGTTACAGATTTCTTGGACCTACTCTTTCCTTTAATATTTGATTTGTAGATATTTTAATATATTGTTTATTTAGAAGCCCTAAGGAAACCAAAGTTCATAGAACATTTTTAAAGATGTAACTACTTAAAACTGGAAACCACTTTGCAATTTCACATATTTTTCTTAAATCTATGTAATAATAAATGTGAAGGCTTTTCTAATGAATTTATCATATAGCATATTTTAAAGAGAACATCATGTAATTGTTAGAAACTGTCCCCACTTTTTCTGGTAAGGTAGTGAGGTAATTAAAGTCAACTGCTTGTGAAAATACCAGATGTGGAAGGGTTTTTTTTTCTACCAGAATGGAAGTTCAAGCTACTGTATACTGCTCTGTGATCAAGACGTGAGACTGACTGATAAAGTAATGCATACTTTCATATTTTATGGATTTTCTGGTGGTTTTCCTTATTTCCAAGTTGTGTCTGGTCATAAAAATCTTCAAAGTTGAAAGAATCCTTGACTCACAGTGCTATGAATAAAGAGCTGGAGCTTCATTTTTAACATGCTCAATTTACTAAGATAAAAGAATTAGTTATGTCAGTAAGTGCTCTGTTGGGGAAAGTCTGCCAAGCACCAACAGTGTAATTCATGCTTTTAAGCATAGACAGTAGCCTCCGTAACAAGTAATTCGGTGGTGCATTTTGCTTGTAGTTGAGTGTGTGTCTGTAAGCGCTTGCAGTGACTGCGGTCCTGGTCTCCTTCATGTCCTCAGGAGCATTCTGTTGACTTTTGAGGAGGTGGGGCAGGGAGTAGGATTTAATTCACTGTATTTCACACTTTGAGATGTTATGTGTCACATAATTTCACTTATTAAGTATCCAAATGGTTTAATATGTTAACTCAGTTGACAACTGGCTCTAAAGAAGCTGTTACAGTATGCTGCCAACTTACACCTTAACAAAGGAGAAACTGGTCTATGGACTCTGAATTTGGCAGAGACTGGATGAGTGTTGAAGATAAAACATACAAGAAACCTAATCTAAAACCCTGACCCTTTTGATCCACCTTCAAGTTATGTATGGGAAATAATGTCTTGTGATTTAAATGACTGCTCCTATGCTCAAAACTGGAAAACAACTTGGATCTTCCATTGTTTGCTCTATGACTCTGGACATGATAAACACTCTGCCTCAGTTTCCCTGTCTTAAAATGGGGATAATACCTACCTCACAGGGGTGTTGTGAGGCTTAACTCTTGTGTGGAGAGCTCTGAGATCTGTTACTGGAAGGCACTGGAAGGAGTATAAGATACTAAATTACATGGTATTTACTTCTTTTACAAATGTATTGCAATACCTAGGCACAACAGAGGGAACTGAGGATAGTTTTGGCCTTATGAAATTCTTTGATGCTGTGGTTTTCAGGTTTTTAACAGTATTTAAATGTAGATTTTTTTTAAAAAAGAATGTTTTGTTAGCGAAGGGAATGTAGCTTTGCCTCCAGATACAGAACACCTCGCTAGTTTGCATTTCTAATATGTGTCTCATATGATAATTGCTCCTAAGTAGTTCAAAATAGTGTGCTGCTCATCAGACCTGGATTGGCCCAGGTCATGTCAGTGGTCTTACCCAACTTCTCAGCAGAGCATTGCAGTCAACTCTTGATTATCCATGGGTGGATTACCAGTGTTGTGTATTAACTGTGCAGTCTACAGGGCCAGATGAGCTCTGTATCACATGCCAATGCGTTGCCCAAATGCTATGTGCCAAAGCATCAGGGAAAGTAGAGGAGCTCAGTCCAGTTTCACGAGAGCCCCCTCTCACAAGGTTTGTGAGCTTGGGTGCAGCGCAGCACCATGCAGTTATTTTGCCTCTTGGCTGCTCAGATGCATCCGCGGGAAGCTGCAGTGTGTGTTTGGGTCGGTTCAGCTTTGTGCTAGCTTGGGGATGTTGGTGCTTCACAGCCATTGGCATCGCTCACCTTTTTCTGTGTTTGTGCTTGTTGTATAGTCTCATAAACTAACTTAAATATGTTAATATAGTATTTATATATGTTTTTGTTTTGTCTGAATTATCTTAACACTTTCTTCTGTTACCTGTACATGATCTAGAGTTGACTGTTAAATGAGATCTTGTATGAGACTACATTTGCAGAATATGCTACCACTGCTAGTATACTACAAAGTATTAACCAAGTAAATTTTGAAATGAACAAAGTACTATTTTTTTTGGAAATGTGTATCCTTGCTTTTTATGATAAACTTTGACTAATTATTTTGATCACTAGTTTAAAATTGGTCTCAGTCATTAGTATGAATTATTGAGGTCCTGCTGTATATCACTTAGGCACCATAGAACTACTGCTCTTTAGTTTATTTAAAAAAAACAAAAACAAGAAAAACCATAGTAGCACTGAGAAGCCTGACTTACTTCTCTCCTGGTGCTCTTATAAAAAGAGAGCAACTATTAAGTCTTGACAGTTGCCACCATTGGTTAACAGTCTCAGTAAATGCATCTGAATAGATGGAGTTGTAGTCACTAATTCCATTGTAACTATTTAATCCTTTTTTTGTGCCAGAAGTCATATTTTTCTATTTCTGTGTCCATTGCAGGCAATGGCTAGCTTAAAAGACAAAAATCTCTCCCCCATGTTATTTTTATTATCAAGACAGGGATGCAGATGTGACGGTGATGATGATGGGGGCAGAAGGGGGAGTTGTGTGGCCTCTCTGTCATGTGCTGTATGTGCAGCACCAGCTGGTGTTAATGGGGCCCTTTAGTCTCTTTAGCCCTTGATGGTAGATTCCCTGAAAGCATATAGTCAGGTCAAGGTGGTGGCTGTACAGCAGCAGGAACACAATTTTTGTGTTTGTTCTGGCTGTATAAGACCAGACTGTAGCCTGCTAGCTTGCGATATAGTTTGATTTTTTTTAATCTGATCTGTCTGTGGTTACACAGACTTGATTTGTTCTGAAGATCACAGTTCCAGAATACTGGGAGCATTCAAAAACACTGCACAGCCTCTTTTCTTTTTTCCACAAAGCGTGAAACTAGTGAATCTCATGTAAGTGAACACTGCAGTGGTGGGGAGCTAATTGTATTGTGTATCACATTCCTGAATTTTTAAAATAAAAAAATATGGAACACCGATTTTAAGGAAAAATAAGTTTGTATTTCAGTGTCTAGATTGTTTATGCTTTTGATTAAATGTGTCAAACATGTACCAAACATCATTGGGTGAAATATTTTACACTTAGGACATGTCTCATCCAGAAACATGCTATTTTAGAATCACTTCTTAGATTATATCTGCACCTAAGGTGCAGTGCAGAACTAATTCAGATACTCAGTGGGCTAGCCACAGTACCATGAAGCTTTACCTTTTAGCACCGTAAATTGCTTCTGTGGAACCCCTTATAATTTTAGCTCGATTGCTTTCAACATCCACTCTAGGCTTTTGGTAGTATCTGTTATTGCTGCATCATGGTATTCGGTATGGACATACGCATAGTTATGTAAAAGACAAAACTAGCTGCAACTTGTGACTCCCAAAAAGTCATGGCAAGGCCTCAGTCCTAAATTTCTGTATTCATGAATAGTTTAACTGGGCTGACGAGTAGTTACTTGCATGCAAGGAATTACTTGCAGCAGTGAGTCCAAAGGTTCTGCCAGGACAGCCTGGCTTTTGAAGAACAACTGAAACTACCTAGATTTTATGGATGTATTAAAATCAGTACTGTGGTGTTTTTAAATTTGCTGCAGAAATACTATCAGTTTGTTATAATTCCAGGATTTATTCCTTTTCCCCATTCTTAAAAAGAAAGGAAAAAAAGCCCACCAAGTGTCCTAAGACTTGTTAACAAGTTTAGCTAAACTGACATTTCTGTTTGCTTCTCAGATTGGGCCATCTGAATTTATTAAACACTGCCTAGTGGAGTTTGGGGAGGAGGGATAAAGATTCTTGCCATTCTCCTTCCCCTGCCCCCTGCTTTGACTGCACTTTCTAATCTCTTCAGCTATGGAGAGACCGAGGGGGACAGAGGGGGTGAATTTTGTAGCTAGATGTTCTAAGTTCCACGTGGAGCGAATGGGAAATACTGCTAACTATATTTAAAAGCATATAAATATGCTCTGACTATTTTAGTTTCATAGCATAGCATCAGTTACGCCCTTTTTAGGTATGCATTGAAGTTGTTCAGCTCTGTAGTAACTTTGGTTTTTTTCTTTCTCTGCTGGACGGAAAGAGGTGGATGCTCCATTTGCCTGAGCTAAAGCCAGTCTTGACAATTTTCCAAATCAAACCTAGCTTTGCTGATAACAGGAGGTCTGATTATGCCTTATGACCTTTGCTTTGTGTGGTTAGCTGCCTGTGGGGTACAATACCATGTTTTAGCAGGCTCATGTTTATATTTTTTTGCATTCACCGTGTTATCTAAGTAGTTGAAGAGCAAAGCCACAATACTGAAAAATATCTTTCATCTGTATGTCTCCAAAAAGCACATGGGATTAATTTGGCTTCTTTTTTTTCATGTCCTGGATCCTGTTTCTGAGCAATGTTAAAATATAATTGGCATAGCTAGTGTTCATTGATGATACTTCTTTTTGCTTTCTTTTAAAATAAATAATGATGTTCCTTTTTTGTTGTTTTTGTTTTGTTTTGTATTGAGTATTAAAGTCCTGAGAAAATAAATGGAGCTCTTGAATGTCAGATACTTTTAGTTGGGATTTCTTTCTCAGGTCAGTTCCTAGGAAGAAATTTGACTAGTAGAAATGCACTTTCACCGTCTCCCAGAACCTCAGGAACAAGTACAAAGAGCACAACTAGAAGAAGAAGTTAATAAATGGGTTGTAAAATGATGGCCTCCAACTGTCTGGATTCCAGGTGCAATTAAAAGAATAGTTGCTCAGTTATAGTATCACGTGAAGAGTTAATTATGCAAAATGCAATTTTTTTCCTGCATTTTTTTTTCCTGAGAAAAACAGCCTTTGAAAAGAATTAAAAAATCTTCCTGTCCTGTTAATTGGCCATGGTTAAATATCTAACATATGGTAGGTCAATAAGGTAGGCTTCCTAGTAGAAGTCTGTACTGTTTTATTTAATGTCTTTGGAAGATAGCTACTTTAGAGCAGAAGATGCTTTGGTGTTCTTCAGCTGCATTTGTTTCGATTCAGAAACACTGCAGTTTGTGAAGTTTGTTGTGAGAAAAGTACTGACTGCAGAAAAAGGTACAGCTGCCAGCAATAATACTGAGGAGGTCAGGATTGTTACTAATACCTGCCTTGAGCTGTTTGTGAGCTTGCCGTGATGAGTTCATTTTGGAGCCCTTCACTGGTCCAGCTTCAGCAGCTGCTTTTTTCTGCTTCAGGAGAGAAAAGTGATTCCGTATTGTCAGTTATGTATGTAGGAGGGTATGTTTGGTTGTGCTATAAGCATTGCACGTGAGCTTGAGTTTCACCGTTTTCCAAAGCTGCTTCTACCTCATCATGAAAAGATGTGATTTAAACTTAGTATCAACATCCTTTATGAGACATGCTAGTGCGGGAATTTTTAATTAATGGGATGGGAAGCAAAGCTTCAGGTCTATAGCTTACGTTCGCTTTTACACGTACCTTTCCCCATGCCATTCCTAGACCTCCTGCCCCAGGTGGTTGGTTGCCTGACCACCTCAAGGACCGGATCCAGCTCCCAGAACAACTCCTTCTTGCTGCTTTTGCATCGGAGGAGCTGATGCCACAGGGGAAGGGCAGGATGGGAGTGACGCTGTGTCTGACGCCAGGCAGGCGAGCACTTTTCAGCAGGAACCTTCTCGGGCTGATCCGTGCTAGCACCCCAAACCTGGTATGAGACCCTTGCCACCGAAACTTTGGTTAGCATTTATATATATGTATTTTGTATTCTCTTTTCTTTTTTTCATGACAGTCAACAGAAACTTTAAAGTAGTGCTTAGGCCAAGATGTAATCCCCCCTCCTCTCACCCAAGCTCCATTTCTAGTCGCAGCATGGGTAGGCATCCCAGCGTTTCCCTCACACCAGCGAGTGGAGCTAAGAATAGCGGCGGCGATGCTGTGGAACAGGATGTGCAACCTGCTGTGTTTGTTCCTGTGTTTGTGCTTGTGTTGCTGGCCTGGGCTGAAGCCTGTCCTCCTCCATCTTCCCTGCTAGCGCTGCTGGGCTCGCTAGGTGAATTCGTTAAGATTTAATTTATTAGATCAGGTTTGCTGTGGGTTGGCCTACACTTGTTTCAGTTGCATTCTGCAGTATAGGCAAAACCTCAGCTGAGTGGGATATTTACTTGCTGCTAGGCTTTCTTGCTTCAGAGTATGGCTGCCGAGCGTAAGTGGTTGCTGCTGGCCCGCTGCAGACCTGGGTTGAGCTTTGCTGGTTGGTTTGATGTTACCGTGTCATCCTTCTAGCTGAGGGTGCAGCTCAGCAGGTGTGTGCAGCGAGTACAGCACGGTGAGTCTCAGCAGGTAACTAGGTCATTGGCGCTTACCTGATCTTGGTGCTCATACCCTAGTTTAGGAGTGAACAACACTCCCACAGACAAATGCTGCACATATTGCTATACCCTCGAGGTTTTTGCATTAGGCAGCGTTGGCTGGAGACACAACCCATCGTTCTTGTCCTGGGGCGCTCTAGGAGTCTCCCCCAGTCAGTTGCAGACAAGCTCATTTTCCCCTCAGAAACGGATTAGGTGAATTAACACAATTTGGGTGACAATTTTCACTCGTATTTTTGTGGCCACGTGGGAAGGTTCTGACCCAAATGGATGGGGTGGATTCTGCATGCTTCCAGCTGAGTGTAAGGAGAGGTTAGGTTAAAATACCAGGTAAAATCTAGGCTTAAACAGTTAATCTTCTAAATACTCATAGTGGCAGAGGTCTTAGACTTTTATGTCGTGCTATTTTGAAGGGATTTGGTCTTCTCACATTGCTGTTCAAAAAAAACAAAAAAAGAAAGGAAGAATTGTGTTTAATTATCACAAGAATTATTAGCCAGCCTTGGTAGCTGTGTTTCAAGTTTGTCTGAAAACCTCCCAGCATATAGTAGATGCACAGTAGAGACACTGATGAATTAGTCGGCAAGCTATCGCTAAAAAGGAGGTGTTTGGTACATATGCTTCAGCTTGGAAGTGGAATGACACTTGGCACCATAATGTCCCAGTTATCTTTTTCTGAAGGAGTAGGAAAACTACAGAACTGAATACTGAGTCAAGCTGTGTGGGCAGAGCTCCTGTCTCAGGACCGGCCTGATGTCACGGTCGCAGCGTGACATCGCTAGCCGTATGCGAAAAGCTCAGAGCATCACCCAAGCTGTATATGTTATTCAAAACCTCAGTAACATTTGCTGAAAACTTGCATGGGTTTTTTTG